GCATTTAGCAGCAGCATTTTTCTGATATCATTCCTTGAAAATGGTCACAAATGGTGGAATATAGGATCCCATATGTGTAAAAAAAAAAAACTAAAAAAAACCACTAAAATAAAAAACCTATGTATTGTATGGGGGAGGGGAACAGTGTTGGGGAATTGGGGAAGGGGGAACAGCCAACTTTCTTTCCCTTCAAAGGCAAATCCCACTGAAACAGCCCAAGAAATATAAATAAGGAGAAAAAACCTTGTGGCAGCAAGGAAAACAGAAAATGGTATAATAATGGGGCCAAAAATATAAAGGAATTCCTGAAAGAAATGAAGCAGATGGAATCGGATCAACAGAAAAGCTGATCGTGCCAGACAAGCAAAATAAGGGGTCCCTGAGCAGCAGTCATGGGTTTCTCCAACCAGCCACAGAAGCTGCCCGAAGGCAGAGTGGCAGGGCCTGGGACCAAGGGCAGGCTGTGAGGCAGGCAGAGAAGGGCATTGCAAAGCTCCCCATTCAAATTGGGCAGTTAACGTCTCAGGACTCTGCAAGTTCTTGTCAAAGAAGCAGAGGTGGAAAAAAGTAAACATCAGAAAGACTCCAGGTTACCATTATTTGAAGATTGAAAATGCAAGCGAATTAACTGAAAAGCTTTTTAAAAAACAGCTTTCAGTAAGATGGTCAGATAAGATATTCAAAACAACCAATTGTTCTAAATACAAACTATAATCAGGGGACCAAAAGGTATTTTTCACAGTTGTGAAAAATATACAGCAGTTCTGGAAGTCCTCTTTCATGTTTTTAGTTGCGCTGTCGTGGCTGCCTTGATGTCCTGAATCATTTTGACTTTAGCTAAGGAAGAGCCAGAAGTCAGACGGTGCCAGATGCAGTGAATAAGGTGGATGAGGACACACCGTAATGTTTTGACAGAAATTGCTGTACCAGAAGCCATGTGTGACACAGAGCCTTTCCATTGTGATCACAAAATATGGTGAATGCTGCTGCTGAGTGCCATCCAACAGAAAGGCAGGGATCTTCAATACAGGAAGCAGCACGTCGAACTTTAGTAACAGTGTGTGACAAGGTTCAACTTATTTGGTGTAGTCAGTCAGGTGTGAGCTACAGTTGAGAGAAGTTGTGTTGTAAAGTGTGCCTTAAATCATCCTCCATCATGACAA